GTGGAGGAGAATGCGCGGTGACGAGAGTGATGTGGGACGAACAACATAGTTTTGATGAGGAGGGTGTGAGTGAGGATCAGGAGAAGCAGCAGCATATGGAGGAAGGGGGAGGAGGAAGAGCAGGGAGGAGGATGAGGAGGATGAGGAGGAAGATGATGATGATGAGAAATTAATGATGATGCTGCTGATGATGATGATGATGATGATGATGATCATGATGATGATTCTGATCATGACGACCATGCTGAGGTTGATGCTGCTGATGATGATGCTGATGATGATACCGATGTTGATGCTGATGCTGCTGCTGATGTTGTTGATGATGATGATGATGCTGATGCAGTTGATGATGCTGATCATGATGATGATGCTGATGCTGATGATGCTGATGATGAGTGTTATTATCATCATCGTTATTGCGATTCTTATTCTGATCATTGTTAGTATCATCATTATTACCATTAGTACCACTAGTTAGTCTTATAATCATCATTGTTATACATATTACGATATTATAATTATTAGTGCGACTACTGTTATCATTATTCTTATTACTACTAATACCACTGTTATTTGCATGATTCTTCTTATGGGTAGTATTGGCAGTATCGATAGCACTATTATGATGTCGATGCTGAGGAGCAGGAGGAGGAGGAAGGAGGAGGCGCAGGAGGAGGCGGAGGAGGGGGTGGAGGAGGATGAGGAGGATGAGGAGGAGTAGGATGGCTGGGACCACGAGAAGCAGGAGTCGTCACTGAGCATTGCCAGGCGCAATGGTTTGCGCGATCCGTAGTGGGTGACACAGTGTGCAGCGTGCTGGGAAAACAACACAGGACATATATGAGACGGGCCAGGGGCATGATGAGCACGAATGCAAGAAGAGTGATGGGAAGGGGGGATTGAACATGCAGCAGGGAGTGGCGATACACAAGGGACAAGGCAGGAAAAAGTGAGGAGGGAAGAGGAGGACGAGGAGGAGGTGGAGGAGGAAGTGGAGGAGAAGGAGGAGGAGGAGGAGGAGGAGGAGGAAGAGTAGGATGAGTAGGAGTAGGAGGACTAGGAGGAGTAGGAGTAGGAGGACTAGGAGGAGGAGGAGGCGGAGGAGGAGGAGGAGGAGGAGGAGGAGGCGTGAGGAGGAGAGGAGGAGGAGGAGTAGGAGGAGTAGGAGAAGGGGTGGTGACCAGAGTGAGCCTAATACGTATCGGCGATGTTGCAATTGCTCGGTCGAGGGAGTTTTTGGTGCGTCCTTCGCGGATCCCTCGCCGATGCACGGGGGGCACAGTGGCCATGCTGCAGCTGGAGGGCGAGCGCGGCACGCTGCCAGAGCAGCGCCCAGCCCGGCGAGGTTGAGCGTCGTGCTCCTTCCGTGCGCCGCCGGCTCCTCCGAGGCGGGGATTTATGCAGAACTCACCGCACGGGGGACCGATCTTCGGGGAGTTCGGCAGGCGGTGGATCTGGATGTATTCAGGCCTCCTGGGGCCGAAGCGTATCCACGTCCAGCGCCCGCGGGTGTCCCAGGGCGTCGGTTCCCCAGGCTGTGGATACGGAGAGATCCCCGCCTCGCGCAGCTCCTCACCGTCACCAGCACGCAGCCGCTTTGGCTCACGCCGCCCCGGCCCGCGCACGGCGCGGCCGCTGGGGGGCGGGCGCGGCGGCCGCGACCTGGCCGCCATGTTCGGCGGCGGCTGCGGCGGCGGCTGTGGTGGCGGCTGCGGCGGCTGCGGCGGCTGTGGCGGCTGCGGCGGCTGCGGCGGTGCGGGCGGCATGGCTGGAGGCTGCGGCGGGCAGGCTGGCGGCTGCGGCGGCTGCGGCTGCGGCGGCTGCGGCGGCTGCGGCGGCTGCGGCGGCTGCGGCGGCTGCGGCTACGGCGGCTGCGGCGGCTGCGGCGGCTGTGGCGGCGGCTGCGCCATGCAGGGGCAGATGGGAGGGATGCCCGGCGGGTGCGGGATGCACATGGGCATGCCTGGCATGATGGGCATGATGCCCATGGCCTCCATGGGCATGCCGATGATGGGCCAGTCCATGATGGGCATGCCAGCCATGGGCATGCCGATGGCGATGCCGATGGCAGTCGGCATGGCACCGATGGGGCAGATGGGGCAGATGGCGCCGCAGATGGGGCAGCAGCCCGCCATGCAGGCGGGCGGCGCGACGTCTTCCAGCGTTGGCCCCCTATCCTCTCCGCAGCCAGCCGTGCGGGCCATGGTGGGCGACTCCGCCAGCGACCTGCTGGGCAACCCGCTGCTCGCCACCGTGAAGCAGGCCGCGGGCGCCAGCGCTGGCGTCTCGGCCGCTCAGCAGCCGCCGCCCCCAGAGGTGCCCCTGAGCAAGGAGGCGAAGCGGGAGCAGCTGGTGGAGCAGCTGAAGCAGGCCGGTGAGGAGCTTTCTCGGAAGACGAAGGCGCATCACGAGGAGGCCAGCGCCGCCGAGGGTTCCCAGCCGAAGAAGGCCGGGAGGATGGAGCCCGAGGAGAAGCCAGCCGCGGAGACGGAGGCCCCCAAGTGCCACCTCCACAGCGCGAAGAAGCCCAACGCAAAGTGCAAGTTCTGCCAGCGGAGCATGAAGTCGTCGAAGGAGGCCTCCGTAGCCGAGAAGGTCACTGGCGAGAGGAAGCCACAGGAGTTGGCGCCGGAGCTGAGTGGCAGAAACGATGACGTGGAGGACTACTCCAGGCGAACCTTTAACTGCAGTCCAATGCTGAAGGAACAGATCTTGCAGTCGAGCTACTTCAAAAGCCTGCTGGACATAACGAGCCTCGATGATCTGATAGAGGAGATCAAGACCTACGCGGACACCCTGGATGTGTATAGTGGGGGATCGGCCACGCAGCCCTCCTGCTTCATTTGCCATGTGTACCGTTTGTTCACGATGCCCGATGCTGAGGACCTTGGTGAGCTCTATACAGTTATTGACCACCACGACAGTGCCATTGTAAGGTGTGTCGGCTTCCTCTATATGCGGATGGTCATCGCACCCTCGCTCTTGTGGGATAAGTTCGAAGAGTATCTCTTCGACAACATGGAGTTCCAGTACGCGGACGGGATCAAGACCGTCACCACGACGATCGGAGAGTACGTTGAGTCTTTGCTTATCAAGGACAAGTACTTCAATTCCCCGCTGCCGCGCATCCCAGTGAAGGTCCGGCAGACGCTGGACAAGGAGCTCGCGCCCCTCCCCCAGTACAGGAAGCGTATGGAGGCCAACCGCATCACTTTTAGAGAGATCAAGATACAGGACACGCCGGTGGAGGCCGTCGTTGATGGCCGGTGGGTCTCCGGGCAGGCCAAGGAGTTCGTGGGGCGCCGCGTCGCGCGGAAGTTGCGCGTGCAGCTGGACGAGGGCGGCGAAGCCACCGTTCACCTGGGCAAGGTTGTGCTGAGAAAAGAGCGGAGCAAGAGCCGCAGCCGCAGCGGCAGCAGGGAACGTAAGAGGAGTCGCAGCAGTCGCCGCGAGCCGGACTGGTCCAGGTACAAGGGCAAGTCCGACAAGCAGATGGTGGACGAGATGCGCGAGAAGGCCAAGGAGGAGGCGGTGTGCGGCATGGGCAAGGCCTATGCGAAGCGGCCTCTGGCCGCCGACTTCTACATGGCGATGACGGCTGGCGGGTCCACGCACGAGTCGCGGCTGATCGAGGAGGACCGGGGGGCCCACATCCGGCGACCCAGGCCAGAGCACAAGACGCACGAGGAGCAGGAGCTGGACAGGCGCCTGGCCACGCAGAAGGAGGACGAGCGGCAGAAGAACATGCGCAGCATCTACGAGAAGTACGGCTCCGCGGGCAAGACCTCGGCCCAGAAGGCGTCGACTCCCTCCGCCTCCTGGAGCTCGAGGGGCAAACGCTGCGCCCGGGTCGGGCCTCCGAGGCCTGCGCGGACTCCCGGGGCCGGCGCTGGAGCCGGCCCTCCCCTGGCGCGCGCCGTGTGCACGGGGGGGGGGGGGCCCGGTGCCGCCCCAGAGGCCCGCGCGGACCTCCAGAACCTCGTGTGTACAGTCAGCACAGACGCGCAGGCAGTAAGGATGGGCGACCTTCCAAAGGGCTGCCCTTGCATCCTTCCCTCATCGGCCCCTCCTTGGCAGCGTTCGCCGGCCGCGCCGAGCTCGGAAAGTGTCGGCATGTGGCCCTCCGAGGCCCTGGCATCCATGCCGCGCATCCCAATTGTGCGCGTGGACTGCATGCCTCTGCGCATGCCTCCCCTCGCCACCCGCCAAAGCAACCCGACCCAACCCGAGGGCGCCAATTCGCCAAGTCGCCCTTCATTTTTCCTGTTGGTGGGGGGGCGTCGGGGAACATCGAAAAGCACATGATATGGAACAATGACATAAATATAAAAATTCGGAGGTCCGCGCGGATTCTCGGATCGGCGCTGGACCCCCCTCCCTGGCGCGCGGAGCGCGCCAGGGGCGGCGCCGGAGGCGCCGCCGGGGGGCCCCAGCGCCGATCCGAGACATCCGCGCGGACCTCCGAGCTTTTATGCTTATCCCACTTGCTCCTTCCCCTGGTGTGGGCCTCCGGGGTTGGGTTGGGGTGGTCTGGCAGGTCGTCGCTCCGTGCCCCCTCCGTCTGGACGCCCGAAATGGGTATGGAAAGACTGGGTACAATGTCCAACAGCCGTTCCTGTTCATTTTGAACAGGACTCGCTGTCCACGCCGCCGCTGCCTGTGTCCATTCGAGACAGAGGGCCGCCTGCCCAACAGCGGCCGCTGTTGGTTTGGGACAACATTTACTGTTGGGCATTGTACCCATTTTTTCGGTACCCATGTCGGGCGTCCAAACTCCCCTGGTGTGGGCCTCCGGGTCGGGTTGGGGTGGTCTGGCAGGTCCTCGCCCTGTGCCCCCTCTTCTTCCTCCTCCTCCTCCTCCTCCTCTTCCTCCTCCTCCTCTTCCTCCTCCTCCTCCTCCTCCTCCTCCTCTTCCTCCTCCTCCTCCTCCTCCTCCTCCTCCGTAGGAACGACGTCGACAGGCCGGACACGCTCCGGCTCGGCTGAGGGCGCCGCGCCCG